ACTATGAGTCAGATCCAACTTGACGGCAGTGAGTTTGGTTCTTTTTTTTTTTTTTTTGACTTGCATTATATTTCTGCTAGACAGCACTGGTATAAAAGGATAAAGGCAAAGAACTCAAAATAAATAATGTCTAAAATACATTTTGGGAGCTCTGGTAGCATAGTGCCTAAGGCACTTGACTGTTAACCAGAAGGCTGGGTTCAAACCAACCAGCCACTCCTCGGAAGGAAGGTTGGGCAATCTACTTCTGTAGTGATACTTCCTCGGAAACCCAAGGAGGGGTCACTATGAGTCGGGGCTGACTCGATGGCACATAACAACAACAAAATACATTTTAAATGGAATAAAGATAAAGACAAATAGTTGTGGGAAATGATCATGAAAAAAAATGAATATTCACTAGTGCTCTTTTTGTGATCATTTCCCACAGTTGTTTATCTTTATTCCATTTAAAATCTATTCTTAACCAATCTCATTATTTATTTTGAGTTCTCTATATAGTAGTCCCTGGGCAGTGCAAATGGGTAACAAGCTCAGCTACAAACCAAAAAGGTGGCGGCTCAAGTCCACCCAGAGGCACCTTGAAAGTAGGGCTTGGTGATCTAGTGCTAAACCAATCAGCAATTGAAAACGCTGTGGAGCACAGTTCTACTCTGACACATGGGGTTGCCATGAGTTGGAGTTGACTTGATAGCAACTCATTTGGTGTGGCATGGTATGGTACAGTACGGGATGGTATGGTGTGGTATGGGGCAGAATGGTACAGTATGGCGTGGTATGGGACAGTATGGTATGGTATGGTATGGTACAGTACGGTATGGTACAGTGTAGTACAGTATGGTATAGAATGGTATGGTATGTGATTGTACCTTTGCTAAGTGCTTAATTTACCTTCCCAGGAACTCCCTGATGATGATACAATCTGTTCCATTTCTCACATGAAGACCCTAAAGCTCACGAGGTTAAGTGCTTTCTTGTCAGGTCTCACAGCAAGAAAATGGAGAACTGGGTTGAAATCCCAAGGACCGCATGCTGGGTAGGGCCTCTGAGCTCCTGCAGGTTCAGTCCAGGGTGGAGGCTGAGGCTCCTGGAATGAGCCCTGAGGACTGGAGGCCTGAGCTTTACCCACCTTCCTGCTCTCTGCCTTGCTCCATTGCTGCCCCGCTGTGAGCTCAGAGGGGATGGCAAATGGCCAATGGGCCGGGCGCACTGTTCTCTGTTGACTGGTGAGCACCTGAGCCCATCAGCAAACAGCCTGCTCCTTTGTTCTGCATCTAATTTCATTACACCCTGTGGAAAACATCCTCAATCGCCAGTTTAAGTGTGCTTTCCATGTGTGGTTTGTTGGTTTTTAGGTATTCACCAGGTAGTTCATTTTAATTCACATAATAGCTTCGAAAGTGCAATGTCAGTTGTGTTTAATATTTTCTCATTGATGGTTCTTTAGCTAGGCAAACATCATAAAGAGCTGCAGAAACTGGTGGATACATTGCCGTCAATTAAGCATAAGGTAATTTTTCTCTTGTTCCTAAATCACTTGAAATTTATTTTATGTTTCAATCTCAAAGTGGAGTCATTAACAAGGTACTTTGAATCAGGAAATGTAATTAAATTGAATGTAATTAAATTGAAATGTTAGAAGACAACTTGTCTTCTAGAACACTCGTGTTAGGAGTTATGCTACCCCTAGGATACCTTTCAAGTGTAGCTGTTGAGATTCGCAGGGGGATCTGTTGACGGGCACAGAGCTTTCTGCTTCTGCTGCCATGCTGATGAGGACTCGGGCCTTGGGAGTATAATGATCTCCCCGAGCCTGTGCTGGCGTAGTGCCTAAGGCATTTGACTGCTAACCAGAAGGCTGGCGGTTCAAACCCACCAGCCACTCCTCGGAAGGAAGGTTGGGCAATCTACTTACATAGTGATACCGCCTCAGAAACCCAAGGAGGGGTCGCTATGAGTCGGATCCGACTTAATGGCAGTGAGTTGTTGTTTTTGTGTGCCTGTTTCCTACACTGGCCCCTTCTAAGTCCTTGTAAAAACATGCTCAGAGCTTCCTTAAGTGGCTACCCTCCCACCACTAGGGAGGATAGTTTTATAGACACTGACTTGACTTGTCCAGCTTTAAAGAACAATTACCTCTATCCTTCAGATTGGATACCTTTGTCCAACTCCCAGGATGAATGGTTTAATATTCAGAGTCCCAAGAGACTGCTCCCTGGGAAGTCTGGATAGTCTTTCTAGCTTGTCTCCCCTCACCACCCCTATTTTAGTCCAGGATGCTGGCTTCTGAAAGCATTATATTCTAAAAGGAGACTGACTCATCTATAGAGTAAAAGAGAGGCCTCCTAGTTTAGGCACCACCTCAAACCAAACCCATTGCCATCGAGTCACTCCCAACTCATCGTAATCCTGTAAAGGACAAAGGAGAACTGCTCTACAGGGTCTCCAAGTCTGTAAATATTTGCAGAAGCAGACTGTCACATCTTCCTCCCAGGGAGCAGCTGGTGGGTTTGAACCACTGACCTTTCGCTTAGCAGCCCACTGCTTAACACCGTGCCACCAGGGCTCCTTTGTTTAGGCACCAGCCCCCACCTAATTAATACCTCCCAACAATTTGCAGAGGAGACGCCCTAGAATTGATGGGGAAATGAGTTTTGCTGTATCCCACTGAGCAGTATCAGAAATACAGTGATACAAAGAAATTTTTTTCTTCTGTGAATGTTCAGTTTTTATCATCATCACATACCCTTATTACTCATCTATCTTCTATCATTTTCCTGGTTTTTTTTTTTCTATTTCGATTGCAGTATTAGTTGTCTTTATTACTGGTTTCTAAGAGCTCATTTATAATTAAGTATGTTATATTTTCATTGTCACACAATGCAAATCTGTTTCCCCCTATTTATATCATTGTGGTCTTTTTGTTATTACTGAAGTTATGTATTAAATCTAACCATATTATATAGTATGTTTAAAAAAAAAGAAAATACACAGTGAATTGCAGAAACAAAGCAAAGCATGATTCTGTCCTAAGCGGTGACTCCTCAGGAAATTCCTCACAGGGCCCTTGGCTCCTGTGGACCACTGCTGGCCCCCAGACACACATTGACAATCATTGCCTTCCACTACCTGATACTGACTGGGTGATCCCTTCTCTTGCTCAGGATACCCTTGTGGAATTTGAGTTGTTTGACCCTTCCTGCCTGATGCCCACCTGCCCAGATTACTGGACCTACTCAGGGTCTCTTACCACCCCGCCACTCTCTGAATCTGTCATCTGGATCATTAAGAAGCAACCAATAGAGGTTGGTCATGGTCAGGTAAGCTCTATCCACAACTTCTACAGAAGGAAGTTCAGGTGCAGCTGCATCAAAGTGGGATGGGCTCAGAACTTGACATCCATTTTTAACATCATGCAACATTTATACATTTATATTAAAATATGTTAAAAGCCTTGGAAACCCAAAGGCAGTGGGTGTTTGGTTTTGGTTTTAATGTGTGATCTCAGTTTGGACACTAATTAGGAGCTGCCTCAAATTAAGTACGCTCTGGTGAGGCATTTGGCTGCTAACCAGAAGGTCGGTGGTTCAAACCTACCAGCTGCTCCACGGGAGGAAGATGAGGCAATCTACTTACATAAAGACTGAAAAAAAAAAAAAACTCCCAAAAAACTCAATGGGGGTTGCTATGAGTTGGAATCAACTCGATGGCAGTGGGTTTTTTTTTTTTTGTCAAATTAAGTAGCTCTAGTAGTTAAACTATAGGGAAACATAAGCTCTTTATTTCCATACCTGACAATGAGTGGACATGCATTATGTGTATCTCTGTGTACACCAAGGCCCTTTAAAAATGGAAGAATGCAGGCTGGAAATGGATGTGTTCAATACTCTTTAAAATCTTTTAGGGACTTTCACTGTGGAATCTTATGGTAAAAACAGAACCCAACAATGTCTGTCCAGACATTTCACTGTGAGTCAGTTATTTTGAATTTGGGATTTATTTTTCTCTTAGAAACTAAGTTAAGTGGTGGTCACAACATCAACACACAGAACTCTATTTAATTTATAATGTAACTAAATTACGATACTAACTATTTATACTTCATTTGTATAGAATTTGTATTGATTACAAAAAATTTAATAAGAAAAACATTTTTTGTAAAGCATGAATTTTAAAAAAATTTCTTTTAAAAGCCACAAAAACATTGATAGCAAAATTCAAAGATTGGAACCCCTCCCCCCAAAAAAGTAAACTATTGAGCAATATCTGAAGAATACAGAAGCAAAAGAGCTAAAATAAAACATTAAAAACGGACTCCAGAAGTACATTAGAAGAAATACATACTTTATCCAAGTAGGATTTATTCTTATGATGTAAGGGTGGTTCAGTATTACTACTTATATTAATAAAATCCATCTTCTCAGCAGATATATAGAGAAAAATTGTATTATCACTTCCATAGCTTCTTAGATGACATGAACAAAATCTACCATTCAGTTCTTAAAAATTTTTTGCAAAATTAAAATGAATGGAGATGTCCCTAACTTGATAAATAGATTGACCTCAGGTTAAAAGTAAATAGTACACTTAATGTGGAAAGGATGTCTCCTAATCCTACTACTATTCGCACATCAAATCTTATATTAAATGATATGGAAATAGCCAATACAATTAAGCCAGAAAAGGAAAAAGAAATAATAATAATAATAATAATAATAAAAACCTACTACAGAAAATAAGATAATTCAGTAATTAGTGGAATATGTTATTAATTTATGTTGTTATTTGCTGTCGAGTCAGCCCCGACTCATAGCGACCCCTCCTTGGGTTTCCGAGGAAGTATCACTACGGGAGTAGGATTGCCCAACCTTCCTTCATAGGATTCCAAATCAATATATTTGACACATATAGATCACAATTAGTTAGAAGATATAATGGAAGAAGGAACCCTATTTATAATGGGAATGAAAAAATAATGAAATAAGCTTAACAAGAAAAGTTAACAAGAAAACTTTAAAACATTCCTGAGGAACACAAAGGAAGCCTTGAATTAATAAAGATTCATACCTTGTTAATTGAATGGGAAGACATCATAATTGACATTTTTGATGTCAGTTCTCCTTAAGTTGTTACTCTTCATGAAATGTTTATTCTCCGTACATTTAATGTGTTCCCAATAAATATATACCAAGATTTTTCTTAATTTTTTTTAAAAAAATTATTATGATTTGGGTGAAAGTTTACCGAGCAAATTCATTTTCCATACAGCAGTTCATACACATTTTGTTTCATGACATTGACTGCAATCCCCACAATGTAATAGCTCTCTTTCCACGTCCTCCCCATAGTTACCTCTTCCCTGTGTCCTTCCCTCCCATGTACTCCCACCCCTGAGTGGTCTCCCTGTGAAAACACTGCCCTTCTGTTCTCCCATGATTGATCCCTCCAAGGAATGTATCTACCTGATGTAAATGTTCACCCTATATATCTGTTGTTTGGCTGGAAGCCATGGGAGTGAGTTCAGTTCTAGACCTGAAGGGTAACTGGAGGCCATAATCTCAGGGATCTCACCAGGCTCTATCAGACCAGTAAATGTGGTCTTTTTCATGAATTTGAGTTTTGTTCCACATTGTTTTTCCACTCTACCTGGGTCTCCTGCACTGATCCTTTTCTGAATGGTTGACAGTGGTAGCTGTGCACCAACTAGTTCTGGTCTCATGGTCATGTAGGCTGAAGTTCACATGGTCCACTAGTCCCTTGGATTAATTTTTTCCACGTGTCTTTGGTTTTCTTCATTCTTCTTTTTTCCAGACCAGGAAAGACCCATTGTTGTATCTAGATTGTTGCAAGCTTTTAAGACCCCATTCACTACTCACCAAAGCAGGATGTGGAACAATATCTTTGTATAATATGTTATGCCAATTGAGCTCAGTGTCCCCTGTGACCAAGGCCCTGAGTCCACAGCTCATCATATATAAGCCAAGCTTATATATGATCACGGATATATTCCCTTTTGCCTAGACATACCTGATTATTCAGGTTGTCTACCTGTCTAAGATTTTTTAATAGATATGCTAATTCTGATGTTCATATAGAAAACCAAACAAGCATGAGTAGCTGGAAAAAATCCTAAAAAACAAAATGAGTGATAGCCCAACATATTATAAAGTTTTAATAGTTAAATAATGTGATGCCGCCACATAAATAAAGTGGTAGATCAATGGAACAAAATAGTAAATTCAGAAATAAGCCCAAATACCTATGGGAATTTAGTTTATGATAAAGTAGCATCTCAGTTCAGCGGGAGGAAAAGATAGCATATTCAATAAACGGTATTGAGGACAACTGAGCAGACATGTTGGAAAACACAGTTGAATCCATCATTGAAATTTGCAAAAGATATGTTCCACATACTTTAAATATAAAATGTGAAAAATAACACCATAAAAGTCCTAGGATACCATAGGAAAATTCTTTCATACCTACAAATGGAGGAAGATTTTCTACCTATAAATCCAAACTAGAAGTCATAAAGAAAGCAACTAGGGAATTAGATTACATAAAAATGTTTAAAGATTCTGTATCATGAAAATCACCATAAACAAATGGCAAACTGGGAAAATATTAGCAACTCATAGTCTTAATCAGCTACAGTGTATTGAGTGCCTACTAGCATAGTGCCTAAGACACTTGACTGCTAACCAGAAGGCTGGTGGTTCAAACCCACCAGCCACTCCTCAGAAGGAAGGTTGGACAATCTACTTCCATAGTGATACTACCTCGGAAACCTAAGGAGGGGTCGCTATGAGTCAGGGCCCACTCCACGGCACATAACAACAACAACTATATTCCAGGTCCTCTTCTAAGTGTTTGAGACACAGTAGTGAACAAAACAAAGAAAGAGCTCATTTTCTTAATATGTAAAGAGCTCCTAGAAATCAGTTTTTTAAAAACAAGAGAAAATGGTATAAACAGACAGTTTACAGTTAAGGAAATGCAAGAACCTCATAAACACATGGAAAGATGTTACCTCGCTCATTTATACACACACACACGTACACACACATATATGTATAAAATTAAACTACTACACTGAAATACCATTGATTCAGCTATCCAATTAGCAGAGACCGCCACTGCTGGTAGAAGTAATAGAGAAAGGCCCTCTTGTGCCCTGCTGGTGGGAGTTACATTGGTACCATTGGAATAGCAATCAAAGTGCAAGTGTACATAACCTTTGAAGAGCAATTTACTCTGCAGATGAACTCCACAGATGAAAATTTATACATATAAATGGTTACTCTTTGCCCCCTTTTTATAAACAACCTAAATACCAATCAGTTGGGAAGTGGCAAATTATGGTAGATTCACACCCTGGGATATGAGCAGGTCTTATACAACAATGTGAACATGCTTTGTGCACTGATAGCTCTATTGCTCTTCTCCCAGACCCCAGCTGTGGGGCTTTAGAGATGGGGGTGAGGGCTGAGAAGTGGGGAGTTCAGGAAGCTGGATTTTTTGACCCTGAAGCTGGCTCCATTCATTCCTACACTCATTCAAATAACATTCATTAAATCAGTACTCATGAAGTATCTACTCCGGGTCAAGGACTATGCTAGGCACTGAGAACACCTTGGTGAAGCAAACATAAAGTCCCTACCCCCAGGGAACTTATATTATCATCAGAAATACAGACAACAAGGAGAGAAAGCATGAAAAGGCCAATAGCTCTAGCCTGAGTTAATCAATTTAATAGTATGACAGTGGGGTAGGGACTCTTTTAGGTAGACAGGACTGAACAGCCTTTCTGAGCACTTGGGAGAGAGCTTCAGCCTGGGGACGAGGAGGTGGGGAGGGGGAGGATCTTAGGGGGCACAGAGGTGCATGATGCGGAGCACCACAGAAGTGGGTTTACACAGGAAGAGGCAGAGGGAGAACAGAAGAGCTGGAGGGCCGCCAGCATGTCCACAGACACAGGTGTGCAGAGTGGAGTCTGTTCCTAGACCGAAAGTGCAGACCACACAAATCTGCCTTCCCCAGCCCTGCTCTTCAGAATTCCTTATCTCAAGAAGGAGTATCCAACACACCAAGAGTTCATGAATCCATTAAATTAGTGGAGGGGAGTACAGAGAGACTGCTCAAAGAGATGCATAATAGGTCATCAGGAGGAGCTGGCAGCTCTTCCAACATGTGCTGTGGGCACAGACATTCCTTGGCCCACCTGCTAGACAAAATACAGAGCTTGACTGACCATAAGCTGAGCTTTGTAGCGTTTACATTTAGTCGGGCACTGTCCTTCATATTTAAAAATTAACCCATCACTGAAACAAGAAATAAATCAGAGGGCCAGTGGCCCACATGAGGACATTTTAAGTAAAATTTCAACACCAAAAAATATAGTCAGAAAAAAATGTTACGTGTCATGTATAATCCTAGTCACCTATTTAAAAACAAACAAACAAACAAACTCACTGCCATTGAGTTGATTCTGATTCATAGTGACCCCCATTGGGTTTGCAAGGCGGTAAATCTATAGTAGTAGATTGCCCCCAGTCTTCCTTCCACAGAGGGGCTGGTGGGCTTGAACCGCCAACCTTTTGATTAGCAGTCAAAATACCTTAGGCACTGCTCCAGAGCTCCTTTAATCACCTGTTGTTGGTGGTATGTGCTGTCAAGTCGTGTCTGACTTATAACGACCCCTCCTTGGGCTTCTGAGGTGGTATCACTATGGAAGTAGATCACCCAATCTTCCTTTCGAGGAGTGGCTGGTGGGTTTGAACTACCGGCCTTCTGGTTAGCAGTCACGTGCCTTAGGCACTAACCAAACAAGTTGCCGTCCTGTGTGTCAGAGTGGAACTGCGCTCCCTAGGGTTTTCAACAGCTGTGCTCTCTCAGCAGTCATCACCAGGCCTTTCTCCCGTCACCTCACTACTTAATGTGAATCACTGTTAGCGTAAATTCTCCTGGTCTCTTATCTGTACAAATAGACTTTTTTTGTTTTTACAAAAGTAGAATTATTTTTTACATACCATTTTACTCTTCTTGTCACTCAGTGGTGTGTAGAGTATTTTATTGACAATAAACATCTAGATCTTAGACATCATGTTTAATGGCTATATACTAGTCCATATCATAGATTCTTGTATAATTTGTTATCTGTATTTGGGTTAGTTCTCATCTTTTGCAGCTAGTTAGCTGAGTGAAAACAAGCATGAACTATCCGGACACCTTCTCAGTACACAAGGGCATGTGTGTTATTGGCAGGCGCAGTCCTGGTTTTTGGGCTTGCCTCTGCGGCTTGGCTTGGCCTGACCCGAACCAAACCCATTGCCGTTGAGTCAATCCTGACTCATAGCGAGCCTAAAGGGTTGCCAAGGCTGTAAATCTCTCCTGTAGAGCAGCTGTGGGTTCAAACCACCGACCTTTTGGTGGGCAGCTGACAGCCTTAACCACTGTACCACCGGGGCTCCTTGGCTGGAAGTTGGCTCCAAATGTCAAACACCTTCTCACACTCCTGCCTGCTGTGCCCTAGGCGATCCTCTCTGGAGCTACACTGGGTGGTGCAGGGAAGACGTGAACAGATCTCCCGCCGGCTCGAAGGAAGCAGCGATCTATAACACTGTTACCCCAGAAGCTGTGTGGCTATTGACTGGTGTTATGGGTCCAGGAGTGAACAAGCACTTGACTGGCTTACTCTTTTAATATTGAGCTGTGCTGTCCAGTACAGTAGCCACAAGTCATATGTGGCCATTTCCATTTAAATATAAATAAATTAAAATGAAATACAATGACACATTCGGTTCTTCAGTCACACTCGCCAAATTTTTAGTGCCAGTAGCCACCGGTGGCTGGTGGCCACCATAATGGACTGTGCAGAGCATTTCCATCATTGCAGAAAGTTCTTTGGCCAGTGCTAGCACTGAGGATGGCGTGGCCACTGATGCCATCCGCACACATTGCTTTACCCACAATGCCCAGGTGCGATGAGCCATCAGTAATAGGCTGTTTATGTTAATGATTCAGTTAAATGAAGAAAAAAAATTCTACTGCGACTATATCCCTCAGGCCTTCCTTTTATTTTTCTATACAAATCCGTTGCCATGGAGTCCACTCCCACTGATGGTGACCCCAAGTGTGTCAGAGAAGAGCTGTGCTCTGTAGGGTTTCCAGTGGCTGGTTTTTCAGAAGCAGATTGCCAGGCCTTTCTGCCAAGACCCATCTGCATGGACCTGCACCTCCAACCTTTCAGTTACCAGCCGAGCACGTTAACCATTTGCCCACCCAGGGACTGCTATTATCCTATAAGCAGGCTGTTTTGCCCATCTAAAGATGAGGTTCCTGAGAATCAATGAGAGAAAATAAGTCGTCCGGTACATACGGCTTATATGGGGCACAGGGCTTTGGAACCCAAGTCTTCTGATTGCCCCATGTGCCCCTCCCTGTTTCGCACATCCTGCTGCTGTCCCCCACACATGATGGCCTATTATATTCCCACCCAAGAGGTGAAGTCATTCCTGCGAAGAAGTAAGTTTTCCTTTTGTATCTGATTTTAGTTCAATGCTTCAGGGTTTAAAAAATGAATGTAATTTGTTCATTTAGTAAAGGTGGATATCTCTTGAATTTATCTCCTGTTTCTATTTCTAGATAGAGCAGTTTCGGACCCTGCTTTTCACATCAGAGGGGGAGAAAGAGAAAAGAATGGTCGACAACTTCCGCCCCCTTCAGCCCCTAATGAATCGCACTGTCCGCTCGTCCTTCCATCACGATTACGTGCTGAATATACAGGCAAAACCCAAGCCGCAGAGCAGCCAAGCTACGCCCTAAGACATTGCCATCTAGGCAGTATATCATCTAAGTACATGTTGACTTTTCAACATGGTTAACTAGACTATTCTAAACAGCTGCGCTTTACTAATGAAAAAAAACCAAACTCGCTGCCATCAAGTTGATTCCAACTCTTAGCAACCCTCATAGGTTGTAATCTTTATGGAAGATAAAGATTTAAATCTTTACAAGGCTGTAAATCTTTATAGAAGCAGACTGCCTCGTATTTCTTCTGTGGAGCCGCTGGTGGGTTCAAACCACTGACCTTTTGGTTAGCAGCCAAATGCCTTAACCACTGCACCACTTGCACTTGGTAAGTGGTAGTGCTTGGTAAAGAGCTCCTTGTGCGTTCCTAATAATTGACTATAATTACTGATGACCATTTCTTGATACGAGAGCTTTCCATCAGCAGTTCTTTGGTGGATACCTTATTTTTATCCATACTGAGGTTTTTCCCTGAAGTACTAGCAGGACATACAAGTTCTTCGTAAAGCAGTCAGTTGCTGATACCAAAACCAGACTCCTTGCCATCGAGTCAGATCCGACTCATAGCAACCCTTCCTTGGGTTTCCGAGATGGTATCACTCCAGAAGTAGATTGCCCAACCTTCCTTCCAAGGAGTGGCTGGTGGGTTTGAACCGCCAACCTTCTGGTTAGCAGTCAAATGCCTTAGGCACTATGCCACTAGAGCTCCTAGTTGCTGATGGTGATACCTTTGTATATGGGCCTTTTGTGAGCTACTGGCTTATCACGTTAGTGATGCTTTAGAAGTACGGATAGGGATAATGTTCAAAATGTTTGGCAACTGGTAAGGCATGGACACTGGCTTGTCACAAACAGCTACCAGCCCGGACTGGTGCCTCGTGGGTGACGATGGGCCTTGGTCTGAGGCGTCCTTTATTGTGGAACAGGAATGGGCCCGCTTGTATACGGACTTCGTCATGAATACATTTGTCCTGCTCTTTCACTCTCATTCTAGTACTTGAAGTACTCGAGATCAATTGATAACACATAAAGGAAATGTGTTTTGTAATCAGAAGAAAACAAAGACTTAGATATCAAAATCCTTTAGCATTTCTGAAGATTGGATGTTTTACCTAAAGGCTTGCTCATACAGAAAGCCTGTGCAGAAGATTTGAAAGAAAATGCTTAAAGTGCCTAGAACTTAGAATTCTTTCATCGTACTGTTACAGAAATATTTTTCAACAGATTAAGAATCTCATAGTCTCTAGTGGATAGTATTATTTTGCATTATTTGTACACTGTTCTATAGAATATGATGATAAGGTGATAATATTTTTCACAGTGACAGATGTCTTGAGTTCCCTTTAAAGCCGTTTGAACTCCATTTAGTCATTAGTTGATATTCTTTGTTTGCAAGGCAGGGGATCAACTTCAGTCTCCCAATTTATCCAGTAGCTTAGAAGATTTTTGTTACAGTCATAGGGAGAGACAGCAGATAGTCTACAATCCAGATCATTCCACCTATTCTGAAGAATGCATGCCACAGTCACCCTAGTTTGTAAATATCTTGTACTGTTTCCAATAGTCTAGAAGGCTGTGTTGATTCAGACTCAATGTTGCAAAAAAAAAGGGAGTGAGGGAATTTGCCTCTAGGGTGCCTACCATTGGAGAGGGAAGCATGTGTGCCCTAGGAAATGCCTCAGAATCCTTAAAAAGATGTTGTAAGCTGCAAGGAGTTGGCCCCCCTTGCATACAACAGAACCCAAACACTGCCAGGTTATCTTTAAAAGGGGAAACACATAAGACAGCCATTTTTCCAGGGCACCCATCTTCCTGCCAGGGCTGCTTCCAAAATCTTAGTGCAAAACTCTATTGCAGTAGATGTTCCAAATTGGAGTGAGTACCAGTGTAAAGAGTCCCTGACTTCCCCTAAGACAGCAGAGGTACAAAGGATGCTGTGTTTGTACGATGTTACTAGGGTTACCACGTGGCCTGGTTTGCTACTCCTGATTCACTTACGCATGTTGTTCTGGTGTATTATTAACAGCGTTCTCTTTCACTCTCAACCGTGCCATGTTTTGCACAATAAGTTCTGCAGTCGCCTTCCCCCCCAAGAGGTTATGGACACTACCCTGGGGGTGTGGGTTAGTCACATGACCCCCCAGAGAGGCACTCTGGATTGCCTGACTCCTGATACACCCTGTCGAGAAACATTGTTTGTTTTTTGATGCCTCCCTGCATGTACCTTCCTAGGCAGAAGAGGAGAAATGGGCTTGTGATCTATCAAAAGGGTAAAGAATTTTTGTGTAAAAATTGCTTTACTAATACTAGATCAATAAAACTCTTTATAATATTAACATTTGTTGAATGACTTTTCCTTCCTAGTTCTTTGGAGTATAATATACCCATTGCTGCTAGGTCAACGGTGACTCAGGGACCCCATGTGTTAAAGAGTAGAGCTGCTCCAGAGGGCTTTCTTGGCTGTACGTATTACAGAAGCAGATCTTCTGTGGTACACTGACTGGTTTTGAACTGCCAACCTTTAGCTTAGCAATCGAGCACAAACTGCTTGAACCACCTAGGGACCTTTTAGAGTATATAAAAATGTCCATAAAATTATCGAGACATCTTTTAACGTGTGGGTCAGATGGAATTGACAGGTAGTCCCCGACTTATGACATATTCAAGTTAGGACAAACTGCACTTAAAACGGTCTTTTGGTTGGGATTTTTTGTACATCTTAGCATTAACAATACATACTACATACAGTGTTGCAGCATGTAGTTTGCTGATGTTATCATTCTCAGATGTTCACTCGCAGAAATAGATTCAAAGATCAAATTGAAAAGATGCTGATAATAAAAAACAGTATGAAAACTGAAAACAAGAGGTATTCGACTTACATCAGAACTAACTTGCGATGGAGTCATGGGAGCAGAACCCTGTTGTAAGTCGGGGACTATCTGTACCAGAGAAACAGTGTGGGGACACCCCCTCTATCCCAGCTCACACACACAGTCTACATCCAGGGCACATCTGCAGTCACCATCTAGGGCCAGCTGCCAGTCCCCCTTCCTTTCCCCACCACACCTCAAAATTTAGGAAGGTGTGTTTCCCTTGCTCCCTGGAGGACACATTCTTTTGGCACGGTAGTAGCAGAAATATTCTATTAAAATTACTTACTTTTTAGGTTTGTCTGCACTACTAGAAGAATCAACATGATTTACTTGATACCTGTTCCACTTAAAGGAGCCCTGGTGGTGCAGCAGTTAACCACATTCAGCTCTAACAAAAAGGTAGGCAGTTTGAACCCACCAGCTGCTCAGTGGGAGAAAGATGAGGCAATCTGCTTCTGTAAAGATTTATA